TACCACTCAAGACCAGTCAAGATGCTCAAATGAAGAGGTTTTTTTTTGTTTGATCTGTTTATTATGAGTAAGGATCCATGTTGGTTACGTTTAGGAAAAAAATTGTGACTTTAAGAATATTGGCTCACAAAAGTCGAGTGGACAATATGTTGTTCATGATACTAAAGGGCCAGAGCTTCGTAGTGCACCTATGTCGAATATTAAAACGTAGGTTGCAGATTCCTTTGTTCGGCAAGCTTTATATATTGATCAATCATTTTTTCATTAGTCTAAGATGTAGTGGTAAATTCTTGAAGAAATCCAAGTCATGCCAATTACAGAAATGATAATAGTACTTCCGAAAGAAGCTCGAACCCTCTCGAACTACCGCCGAAGAGAAGAAAGGCACATTCGCAGTGTTTAAAGTTTGCTTTATCAGTATAAATATAAATATCTTTGAGGTTGACGACTCTACGATATCCGAGGAGTATTACTCATCCAAAAGTCCTCCATGCAATAAACTGACAGTTTTGGAGTCAAAGTTGAAGTAAGTTTACTGATGATATAAGAGTCAGTTTGAGATAAACTATCAAGTAGCCGCTAAGATGCCGGATAACGAGGTATTCGCTCGACAAGCTTTAGTTACTGACTTTTTATATGCGCTCGCTTATGTGGACATCGTAGCGTTTTGTTTGCTACTGAATGAGAAAAATTTAGAAAAATCTGCGATTTTTGACACTATTTGAATGCTAGAAGTGTGATTGTAGGGAACACCAGACCGAATTGGATAATTTGGATAGCAAAATCACAGAACACATGTCAACGCTGAATGCTTCGTTACTGCGGAGAACTGAGCTTAGAGTGAGCTTTTTCTCCTTTTACTTTTTGTCTTTCCTTTTACTACCACTGCGTTGCGTGTCAGTTTACATGCGGACCGTTCAGAAACAATTAGCTGAGCTGGACGCGGACATTGATGCCGAAAGGGTAGGTTGTCGGCTTTTGATGCAGAGACGGAATACGATAAGACGTGCAGTGGAGCGTTGTGAAGAGCGTAAACTGGATCTTCTCCTGGAGAACGAGTGGTAACTGTTTT